CCTTCCGTCTGTTCGTTCATTCCACTAAAATTTTATTCAAGTTTCAAGAAATTACGATTTTAAAATAAACGACTTAACCCAATTTGCTCTAAATTCATATTGATTGAATTAGTGGATTATTTGAGGGCAACGTTATCATACCTCAATTTTGTGAAATTGACTCTGTTTTTAAATTTGCTGCACAGAGCAACAATGAATTTGAAAAACAGACATCAGAGCCGTTAACCTCTATTTGGTAGAATCAACCTCGACTGCATGTCATGCTACAAAAAGCAACAAATTTACGGAAGGAGTTTTTGTGAACATTTAAAAAATTGAAATTTCTTCTTTTGACAGTCTGATTAACATCAAATCTTCACTAAACCTCCTTTTATTTTCATTGTACGCGACAATCAAAATAAAAAAAGGAGCTAGTGAAGATTTGATTTTAATCAGACTGTTCTTTTGATATACCTCGTTATCTCGAACTCGATGGGACCGAGAAAAAAAAATTTCGAGATATCCGAGGATTCGAGATATCAGGGGTGAAATACTTAAAGAATAAATGGTTGGGACCTCTATATCACTTTAAAATATCCATGGTATTCGAGATATCAATGTTCGAGATACCGAAGTTCAACTGTATTTTTAATTTTTTATACTAAAAGGCCAGTCCGTAGAAACAAATGTTCATATATACATGTATTTCCTTTCGTGTTGCAATACAATTGTATACCATTTGGCGGGACATCTATTTACCTACATGTATTACTATTTATAGTTTAGTGATACCATGTGCTCAAAGTAGACTTTATTCCCTAAACAGGCAATGAAAAATGACAATCTTTCAATCAAGTCCACATGATTATAAAGATAATGTAGATAAGCGGAATAATAAAAAAAAATGTCCTTTTCAATAAAATTTTGTTCCTTTGTTGCATAGATCTTAATCTGTCTGCGTAACGTCTGCATAGCTGGCAGCTGTATTACGACAATACTTTACAGGATATAGCACTGTAGAGGGAAAAGCGCTTTCTTCGCAAGTTTGGTTGTTAATACACAAAATTAATGAAACTTTGCCTGTTTCACAGTATTACGGATTTATATACTCCGTCGTGCAGTTTTGAAAAAAAGGAAAACACGGAAAAAGAAATGGCACAGCATGACTACAGCAGAAGGAACACACCTAATTAAATGATAATTAACCTTCTTCCTGTTCGCTAAGATCAACAGGAACGGTGTTAGATAATTATCACGGCGAAGGTGATGAATATGCAACAAAAAGCCGCTGAAGTTATCTTTCACCCCCTTCATCCTCTTAAAATCGCCATTAACATAACTTTCTAGAAATGAGGCATATCTTATGAGTGGAAAATGTCTATCAACGGGACTGAGAAGATTTGAAGCAGGAGAAGTATTTGTTAAATATATGGCCGTTTACCTTTTGATTTCTTCTATATCCTTCAGAATATTGTTTGGTAATGGATACACATCGTTTTTACATGCGCAGAAGCTATTTTATCCAGATATAATCTTATAACGAGATATTGTAACTCTTACTTTTGGTGCTTCAACTGGATTAGCAGGTTGCCAAATTTGTTTGTTCCAAACAAATGTACATGAATATGATTTTACTGGAATGAGAATTCAAATTAAGAGAACTAATATAGAACTTATTTGGCACATTATAAACTCATTACATTTCAACTGTGTCTCCCTGCACCTACTGTAGTTTTCACGAAGTTAGATCAGCGTAAGGGTCGATTTGAATGTTTTACCGACTCGCCCTATACTAATAACTTTTCATTGGTATAACGAATATAATAGTATTTGGTATCTTTCAAAAGACATATTCAATTAGTTTATTTACCAATTAAGGGCCCTCATGGGCAAAAAAGAAAGACATACCGTATATACTCGCCTATAAGTCGGTTCGATTATAAGTCGGTTGTATTTTTTGAGGTTATTTAATAGGGATTTGCCATTGACCCGCTTATAAGTCGGTACAACTTTTTGTTAGAATCAGTTGACAATTTCAAACCAATGCTCTGATGTTTTAACCTGGTTTCGGTTAATATTCTTAGAAATGACACCGATATTTAATTTTAAATCATTCAGAAAAATACATAATGCACACTTTAAATAAAAATAAAGTAAATACTTATACTTTATGTATAATCTTAGAATGCATAAATGATATGATATATCCATACTACATTTCGACGTCCAGATAATACTAATCTTTTTATGACTCGCCTATAAGTCGGACCTAGAGTTTTGGACCAAAATTTAACTCCCAAAAAACCGACTTATAGGCGAGTATATACGGTATGTCATAACACCAATATCGACCTTGGCCTTTGACCGCGAATTTATTTGGGAAGTGATAGATCACATTCTAGTAGTTGTAATTTTATGGGTTTTGTATGGAGACTTTATAGGTATACTAAGAAGACTAAGCACTATACCCATTGGTTTTCATTTAGATTTTTAACATATATTAGCGGAAGTTGTTTTTACCAGAATTTTCTTTGTTGTCAAGAAAGCTATTTTTGCGTGATTTGATGCGTGCTAGTACTGTTTATATATACAATATGTTTATACTTGACTTTCATCGAAAAGGACAATTTTTTATGCCCCCGTAATCGAAGATTCGGGGGCATATAGTTTTTGCCCTGTCCGTCCGTCTGTCTGTCTGTCTTCTGTCCGCAAAAACTTTAACCTTGCCCATAACTTTTGATTGGTTGGAGCTATGGCTTTTATATTTCACATGTGTATTCCTTGTGAGAAAACCTTTCTTTGGGTACCATAAAATTTGACCTTTTGACCTTGACCTTGGAGTTTGACCCACTTTTGCTAATTTTTTCAGACTTTAACCTTGACCATAACTTTTGAATAGTTGGAGCTAGGGCTTTCAAACTTCACATGTGTATACCTTGTGACAAGACCTTCCTTTAAATACCAACAACTTTGACCTTTTGATCTTGACCTTGGAGTTTGACCTACTTTTGAAAAAACTTTAACCTTGGTCATAACTTTTGAAAGGTTGGTGCTAGGGCTTTCATACTTCACATGTGTATACCTTGTGACAAGACCTTCCTTCGGATACCAACAACTTTGACCCTTTGACCTTGACCTTGGAGTTTGACCTACTTTTGCAAAACTTTAACCTTGGCCATAACTTTTGAACGCTTAGTGCTAGGGCTCTCATACTTCACATATGTAATCCTTGTGGCAAGGCCTTCCTTTGGATACCAAAAACTTTGACCCTTAGACCTTGGAGTTTTACCAATTTTTGCAAAACTTTCACCTTGGCTATAACTTTTGAATGGTTGATGTTAGGACTTCCGTTCTTCACATATGTAATCCTTGTGGCATGGCCTTTTTTTTGATACCAATAACTTTGACCCTTTGATCTTGGAGTTTGACCTACTTTTGCAAAACTTTAACCTTGGCCATAACTTTTGAACGGTTGGTGCTAGGGCTTTCATACTTCACATATGTAATCCTTGTGACAAGACCTTACTTTGGATACCAACAACTTTGACCCTTTGATCTTGGAGTTTGACCTACTCTTGAAAAACTTTAACCTTGGCCATAACTTTTGAATAATTGGTGCTAGGGCTTTCATACTTCACTTATGTATCCTTGTGACAAGACCTTCCTTTGGATACCAACAACTTTGACCCTTTGACCTTGGAATTTGACCTACTTTTGAAAGACTCTAACCTTGGCCATAACTTTTGAACGGTTGGTGCTAGGGCTTTCATATTTCACATGTATATTTCTTGCGAGAAGGCCTTTCCTTGGACACCATTAATTTTGACCATTTGAATTTGACATTGATGTTTGACTTACTTTTGAAAAACTTTAACCTTTTCCATATCTATTCAATAGTTGCTGCTAGGGTTTTCATATTTCACAGGTATATTCCTCGAGACAAGACCTTACTTTGGGTACCAACATATTTGATTTGCATTTGAGAAAGTTTAACCTTTGTTATGAGTTGCCATACGGGGACATCAGTGTTTCACAAACACATCTTGGTTTTGGACAATTGACCCTTGCTGAGTTATGACCGTACACCACTTGCATCGCTTGCCTTTATAACTAACTGATGGTATTGACCTTCAAATGATTACTTTTGTAATAAGTTAATCATGACCACGATCCCCCTCCCCCTTTCCCCACCCCAGCCTCCCCGATCTTTAACCATGACCGGTAAAGTGTCATTACAAGAAATCCCACAGTTTATTTTTTGCCATGACATGAACAATGATTTTTCATAATCTAAATTAGTAATGCTATAATTCGGCGATTTTACTTTAATATTATGAATTTTCTGAATGGATACAAGAAAATATATATACATAGAATGTGCTACGATCGTGAAATACACTATTCTTCTATACAAGACCACCAACTTTATTCGTGAAAGAATGTTAATTCTGGGAAAAGTGAACATAAAAGAATAGTTTTCTTCCCGGCGAATTTTAGTGCCTTAATAAATGTCAGTATTTAATGCACTATCACCATATCTCTGATGTGAGTGTTGCCAAACCGTTTAACCACATTAAAATCATGACCACCTCTTAATATAAAGTAACCTTAAATGACATCAATAACCTTTGCATTTCTACAATTAAGTTACCAGTTTCGTTCCAAAACGAAAAAAAAAACTTATTGTTTTTTTTCCCGGTGGATTTATGATCTCCAGCCACCAACAATGTAAACTGCATATAGCACTTAATTATCTCTTCCCTTCTATTTTTTGAGATAAATAAATAAATAAAAATAATAATAGAAGTAATAATAAACAACAATAATTAGTAACCCCCCCCCCCCCCACCCAAAAAAAAAGGTGGATGGAGTATGGTCAGTTCAATGCATAGTATTGATGGTTAAATACAGAGATTTATCGAAGTCAAAATTCTATTTTATATATTCAGAAAGGTAAGAAAAGAAAACATAAAGAAAACCATTGAGTCCATTGTGGATACGGCGATCGAACACACGCGAGATTATAGATATATGCTCTGCATATCACATCAACTGGCCTCTTTATAGCTCGAGCCTTTTGCTAGATTAATTTATTAAAACAAACATAGCGTGCCAGAAAATATTTGATTACGCGATAATTAATGTCTTACATGGTTAGATCGTTGTGTGGCCTCAAAATAACTTCTCCCCTCTCTTTATTTCCAGACAAAAAAACATATGTTTTGGATGAAAGTACATTTAGAAAATCTCCGGAGACACAGGTTTAAACAGGAGGCACTTCAAAGTGAGTAGTTTTCACGTTTTCTCCTTTTTATGATTATTTTTTTAAAAAAAAAATTATCATTGTTGATCAAAGTTTTATGTATTGGTTAATTTTTCAAATCTTGTAAAGAGTTCAGCGGACTGTAATAAATCAACCCATCGACGATATGAATAATTTAGACTGCACTTCTCATTTTTCGTGCTGCATATTATTCAAAATTTCAAGTTCCAGTACGATATCACGAAAAAACTGAGTTCATTCGTTGTGTTGCACTGCATTCTCTCAAGTTACCCTATGATGTAGTGACATACGTGTACTAGTAAATGTACAAAGATTGTCCATAAAGTTCGTGGAACTTTGCAGATTTAGCTACTTCACATTATCCAAAATGCTAGGTCAATTTTGTAAAAGTTCAATACAAGTCCTTTGATAATTAAGAATGTATTTTAATATTTCGTGTAAGAGTAGTTTTAGTAGCACAATACCTGGCCATAATGTCATTCTTTCTTTTGTCTTTCTTTCTCTCTTTCATAACAGACAGACGGGCACTGTAGATACATTTCTCTCAATGTACATAAATAATGCAAAATACACCATATTTTATCATGAAAACGATCTCTTTGAAAGAATTAATCAAAGGGTATGAGGGTATACACTTTCCTCGACCCTTACAACCATTTCAGGTGTGTTAGTAAATTACAATACATGTAATTGCAGGCGCGGTTCCTCTTTTAAAAATAGTTTTCAAAAAGCAATATGCAACTGATCAAAATCTGAAACCACATGAGACAATAATGAATTGTGTGTTTGCGTGGGGGTGGGGGTGGGGGTGGGAGTGTATACAGACAGATAGACAGACGGATGTGTCAGTCGCTAGAACTTTCCTTGCAGTACTGGAAGTATTGAGTCAGAAAGCATGAGTCTTCTACTAATTTTCTAGTTCCAACTTTTCCCACAGTTTTTGCTTTTTTGGTAAATTTATTTGTTGCCACGTTTCATTAGGGTCAAGATGAAGTCTGCTGACCCATACTCGTGGAAGAAGAACATTTTGTAAAAATTTACACATCTTTAAACCTTGGTAGATTCTGAGTTACTTGGAATACCTACTGAGAATCCAATCTATTTTTCTACCTTTATAAAGTTAACATTCATTTGCTGTTTCATGCATTGATCTGAGCTTACCCTTTCTACTTCATTATACACAAACTAAGCATGGAAATAGAGACATGTTTAATGCTTCTTTAATACACATTGATCATGACAAACAGCGATAATAAAAAGATCAACTCGCGAGTAAAATGTTTTACAATGATGAAGGAATTTTTGTTTTACAAATTGTGAAGGATCTTTCGAATCGATATTTCCAGGTTTTATTCATAATAAAATGTTTACTCGCTAATAAAGAGGACCAACGAGGCAAATAATTATTCACTTTCTCTAATCCACTGCCTAAAAGCTTATCAGGGTTGCTTTCGACTAATTCTTTGATCGATTGGATATTTAGATTTAAAACGTCGATAATTAATTTACGGTGATATATTTTGTATAAAGAAGATTTTTTTCTTTATATTTTCTACATTTCAAAAAGTGGCAAAAACAAACAAACAAACAAAAGGAGCAAACAACCAATGAAAACAAATAATGGATAAAATAATAACAATTCATTTAGTTGTTGGCCTAAGAGAGTGTACATGAAAAACACCCTAAAGGCACAATATTCATACGCCCTTTGCTTCTGATGTAGAACTCCTTTATGTGACATTTAAGTGGTTGAAATAGCTTGGGAAAATGACTTACAATTCTTAACTAAAATTCTATATTGAGTGCATGTTTCAATAATTAAACTCCCCATTTTAAAAAGGCATAGGTTTAATTATCCTCATGCGCATGCCTATCAATGCACACGGGCGTTGTATAAATGACTATAATCGTGCATATTAGTTAATTTGCATGTATTTATCTTAATAAGCCCCGTATTAGAGCTAACTTGTCGGAATTTGAATGTAACATATCACACATGTGCTTCATTAACATGAAAAAATGTTGAATTTATCTGATCAGTTGAACTTATTTTTCAACATATAAAATGCCCATGACCTGAAAATATCCTAAAATAAGCTCTACATATCTCAGTGATTTTTTAATCATGTTTCAGTGTTATTTTTACAGTGAAACCTTGGAATTCTAGGTTAAATTTGAATAAATATTTTGCATGTTACAGTTTTATTCCAGCTCTTGAAATTATTGTCTTAGTCGTTTTGAGCGTCGTTATCAGCGATGCATTTAGCGCGGCACCTGACGTCCTTGTTTAAATTTAAGAAAGTGTCGTTTACTGATTTTTATTTGAAAATTAAAATAAGTGTACTTATTTTAATTTTTAAATAAAAATCAGTAAACGACAAAAAATGTTAAGAAAAAGTATGATGTTAAACTCATATAAATTACAAGAATTGTGATCTAGTTTCTTTCTTTCTTTCTTTCTTTTTTTAACTTTTTAAAAGTTTCACAAAAAATCCTAGATCCGCCTCTGGTGTTTCTTATTAAATTTCAAGTTTTTAACCCCTGCATTGTAAAGACATCTTAATTTTTCACATTACATTGGTTTCCTCTGTCAAATCAAGAAACCACAAACCTTGTTTAGACAATAGTCACTATGGTTTGCCCCCCTAACATTTGCATCTGCAATACGTTTTCATTAAGTACATATGTGCAATATGCTTTAAACCCTCCTCTATGCAAGGAGTCACAAAAACAGTAATAGTGCTATGATGAAAGGAAAATTAATAGATCTTACAATTAATTGTCCCAAGTCTGAGAGAAGAAAGAGACACATGGCTCTCCTGTAATTTATAACTCATGATACCCAGACAGACTTAACGTGCTAGACATTGTCCTCGGGAATCATAAAAAGATCCCCCAGAGGGGCCTTAAAATAGGGTTAATGGATTAAAAGGTGTAAATCTGCAACATACTGCAATGTTTGTTGTTCTGCAAAGCCCCCTTGTTATGGTCTCTGGAATCGGTGGCAAAATATTTGGTTTGCGACTCAGAACTTGATTGTATCGTTTAAGAACACAGTCTTATTTAAACTTTTAAGTGGAATGAGAATGACATTGTCGTTGAAGAATGGGTGTTGCTTGAGATTTAGTCCAGATTTCTTAAGTACCACATATTAATACCAAGTAGGTGTCATGGTGCGCATTGTATTTTAATGCACTAAGAGATTTGAAAACAGAAATATAGGTCAAAATATTCTATTTTTGCTTATCGTTACATCAAACTATTTATTAGATGACACTTCATTAGTATTGTAAACTCCTGAACCCCCCAAAACAATCCAAATCCCAGCCTCATCAATCAGAAGTAGGAATTACTGGCCGGAAATGAAGTTTTGTTATACATCCGCAAATGTCAAATAGGCCCAATTTCTCTTTCCGCAGTAAGCTTTCTTTGCGGACAGTAACACGATTGATGTTGCTGAAATTCGCAAAAAGTAGTTCTGGTTTTATTTTCGGACAAATAATCAGTATTTACTATAAGCTATAGGTTATACGTGTATTTTTTTAGTTCATTGTTTGTATTTTTGTATAAAATGGAAGTCTGTTTAGATTAGACAGCCGTAACAGAAACGTGAGAACTGTCAGATATTCAAACAAATTGCATGATAGGTAAGTTACAAATTAAATCGAGTGAAGCTATAAAGAAGGACCGCTTTTAAGAATAAATAAATGATGCATGGATTAATAATGAACCCCTTATTGCTGAAATAGGTAACTTTGTGCTGAAATAGGCAACTTTGTGCTATTTTTCTATATAAATTTATACAAAATTTTGCACAAATTTTATAACACTAAAAAATGTAATAAAATTTCCACACTTACTCTAACAAATATTATCTAAGTTACTTAAATTATTTGAACATAAAAAGCATTGGATATTTTGCTGAATTCTGAAAAAAAGTTTATGTAATTTATCCGTAAGGACTTGTACTTGCTACAAAAAAAATGGATACATGAATTGGTATAAAGTTTTTGGACTTTCAATGAAATAGGGATAATTTAGTGACCTGTAACACCTAGCAGTAAAAATCGGTTATAAAGAACCCGCTTATAAGGAAATATCGGTTATAATGAAACTTTATAAATCTCCAGAAGACTGGAACATGTTTCTTTCACGGATGTGAAAAAAAATCTTTGTTTTAAGAAAGAAAAATTCGAATTCACTGACACTTCCTTATAACCAAGTTTTACTGTAATGTGACTTCCTTATAACCGAGTTTTACTGTCATGTGACATCCTTATATCCGAGTTTTACTGTAATGTGTCTTCCTTATAACCGAGTTTTACAGTAATATGACTTCCTTATAACCGAGTTTTACTGTCATGTGACTTCCTTATAACCGGGTTTTACTGTAATGTGACTTCCTTATAACCGGGTTTTACTGTCATGTGACTTCCTTATAACCGGATTTTACTGTCATGTGACTTCCTTATAACCGGGTTTTACTGTAATGTGATTTCTTTATTATCAAGTTGAACTGTAATGTGACTTCCTTATAACCGAGTTTTACTGTAATGTGACTTCCTCATAACCGGGTTTTACTGTAATTAAAGACATTGAGATGTTCTCTTAGTGTTATATTTGTCTGAATTTGAGAGCAATATATCCATTGAGAAAATCTTTTTTTCCTTCACTCTCGTTATTTATGACTTAAGAAAAAAAATAGCTCTTTCATCGGCGCTAAATCAGGTTTGTAAGACAGTTCTGAGGAACTGAGCACTCAAAGCGCGAGTTAACACCAGAAATTAGAATTATTATTTGATGTTAATTTCTGACATGTGATTCATCACCGGGGTCCGTTTATTGCTTAATCAGCCATCTGAAACCAATTTTGCAGTAACTTTTACAGATTATTTAAGACCTACATATATAAATTCAAACAACTGTCTTTGATGAAATTGAAGATTCATGCGCAATTAACTTTACGTCGATGGTTTAAAAAAAATGTGAACCCTACATCTGCTATCTCGTCCGTGGTTTTCTATGCTTCTTGCAAGATACTGGAGAGGGAATTTAGAAATCACATTTTCTGTTAGTTTGTTTAATTAGCTAGCTGAACCCCTTTGTGTCCCTTGGGGGTGGGGGTGGGGGGGTGGGCTGGGGGTGTAACATTGCAGTGCAGGAACTCTTGGTATTAAAGTTACTCATGACCAAACCGTGTACTGCTATTCCACGTCAAAGTCATGTATACAAAATCAAGATATAATGCCCAAAAGTCTCTCATTTCTGTCTGTATTCTAGCATTATTGAAGTTCACACTTGATAGACCATAAAATCATAACCAAAAATATATCATGCCGTGGAACTTTAGCTATTAGTCATTTGGACAGTAACAAAGTCACAGGACGGCAATCCTGAACGGCTATATCTTTGTATTGCTGGGGTTACCTGATACGAGTGTTGTCATGACCATAGAATGTGCCATGGCCATTTTGAGAGGTCAAGGTCATACAGTCAAGATCAGTAATACATTTTTTTACATACCAATTTCATTTTGTAATGTCATACTTTGTTATACCTAAGATTTATTAGATTTGAATAAGGTCAAGGTCATATCAACGACAGATTTATTTATATTTCTTTCCCTCGTCCTATGATATTTTTAGCTTTGCTAATGTTTTTAACAGCTGAGAGTGGGGGATCCTTAGAATAGTTTTAGATATATTTGCTATATTTGTTTCTTTGTTTCTATTTATTTATTATTAATTTTTTTTATTAATTTTTTTAAATTTTTATTTATTTATTTATTCTTTTTTTTTTTTTGGTTATCAGGGACAAGGTTATCTTTTTGAATATAAAAGTACAAGGAAGACATCTGTATAAGATTTAGAATAAAAGATTTTTTTTATTATGCGTATATCTGTGTAGTTTATAGATGCCATGATATAATTTTAATACGATATTGTTCATTTCATTGTAAAAGAATCACACATCCTCCATTTATTCCTAATTATCTTTTATCAAAAGTTCTGTACGATACATAATGTGTTTGATCTTCAAATAACCGAGGTAATCCCCCGACTAACAATCCCAAATAATGAGACTTTTTCTCTTTGAATTCATTATTTTCTCTTTTTATCATGGACTGGAGCTGAACTTTATGTCTTTTATATAGAACATTGTGTAATTTGTATTGTGGGATCTGCATGTCGGCACGAATTCCTCCTCGTAACAAAGAGGATGTTTGTGTGGTGTTCAGGTTGCGAACGCGATTTGTTGACGTGCAGAAGAAGTTTCATTTTATCACACTCCAAAAAAAAAAAAAAAATATCTCGACGAGATTTAGCTTAAGTGTTAATCTTTTCATTTAAGTGACTACTTGAACGACTTGAAGTACAGCTGTTTGTGCCCTCTCTTTATCACTGATTTTTTATCTACATAAACAATTGACATGACATTACGTACTGCATCGAACTTTATTTGTTTTACAAGTGTGGAGAGGGGAACAAATGCTAACTCAAACTCTCTCTCTCTCTCTCTCTCTCTCTCTCTCTTAGTATCATACTGATTTTTTTTATATCTTGACTGCGAAATTATGTATCATAAGACTCTTGACACGGCAGCGTCCAAATACAAACGACTGATTGAAATCGTTTCTTTTTTTTAACAATGGGTGGTGTAAAAATGACAAAAAAGTAATATTATATACAACGATGCTCTTTGAAGTTTCATTCATTTTAAAAAAATTCATGCATTAGATCTATTTCCATCATACTCTCTTTTTCATTTAAAAATCTGTAGACCAATTTGTATTACACGCAGTCTTCTTGCAATGCAAAATATCACTGAATTAACAAATCATAACTATTATATACATACGAGTACTTAGAGGACTGGACAATGTTGAACGTCATCAACTACTGACCTCACCGATTTGGATTATAGTGTATGACAGCCCATTATTCTCTATGGGTTTGATAAAGAGATACCCTACTGTGTTTTAAGCAATAAAAGTTTTTGACAAAAGAAAGGAATTAACAAGCAGCGATAAACCATCCAAAAAACGAACAGGATTTTAACAATTTATTTAGTGTAAATTTACCAAGATTTTGTAGGGAGTGAATAGTCGCGCCTCTATATTTACCATTTGTGCTGAATTTTAGAAAAGTCTGTGGAGCATTTAGACCGTTTATAATTTTTTGCCTGGTGGCATGGATATCTTGCAATGGAAATATCATGAATGAATGCTCGGATTATTATGTCAGGAAACGTAACTCTCTTAAACTATAGAGCCAGCTATAATTCAGAGTAATCGTTCTTTGTTCCGTATGCACTCCTAAGAACGTCACTCGACAAGTTCAAGATAGGGAAACAATTAAAAATATTTAACCATTTAAATTTATTTTCTAATTCCAGCTGGATTTCATTCTCAGCTTCCTGAATAATGAATAATGCCTGCTTCATCAAAGACAAACTTTTATGCGACTTATTGGCGGATCCATACTCCTTCTGGGACAAAATTCCATGCCCGCCACCTTCTAACCCACAAATTCTCTTTCAAGTTGATTACAAAAGACTTCTAAGTGACGAAGATGGTCTAAGAATAATTTTGAGAATAGCTAAACGCTGTGACATTCCTGTACCGGAAATGTTAAAATCTCCTGCTCGACTTGGCGGGAACGCCATCTTTACGTTTTGTGATTCAGAGTGTGTAAATACAATCGTGTTTTCCTGTTTAATCTTTTTTGTCGTCATGGTGATAATAGTAATATATGTTATAAGGTAACTTTTTGTTAACATTTTCATTTTTTAAAATTAAATAAAGTGTTGTGATATTTATGGCACGCTTTTGCGAAAATTCTTTTTTATCTCCCCTTTCTCTCTCTCTCTCTCTCTTAGGAATCAAAGTCGACAAAAGACAGTCTCCATGGTAACCTACAGATCACGTGATCGGTGTATTTGTATTCACCTTGACGGAGAAAAGGAAACCAACTCCCCCTGTAATGTGGGTATTGTTCGTCTCTTGTCAGTAGAATTTGAAGTCTCGAATGTCCAGCTGTAATATGAATATCGTAATCTCTTTGTAGGGTAACTGCCGGTATAATTATGGAAAATATACAAAAACTGGATCTATACCGAGGCGGAATCAGAAACATTCGGACCATTCTGATCAGTCTCCACTGGAGAGCACATACAAACAATTTCCTTGTGTGGATGTGTTCGATTCACAAAGCTCGCCACTTCAATGTAATGAAAAAACCGGAAGTGAACATTATGAAGACCTTGAAAAACGTAAATCTCGAATAGATGAGTTCACTCTATTAAGGAAAGCTTTTAAAAAATATTATGGTCGCGATATTGACTTTACAGAATCGCCATATTCACGCAAAACGGAGGAAACATACGCTTGTGGAAGTGAAAATGACATGGAAATGACATCACTAGATTCCGATGAAAGTCCGAAAAGTAGTGGGAAACGTTCGAATTACGACTTTGAAGAGAATTTCGAATCAGAAAACCAATACAATGATATTGATTGTGATTTAATGATTAATGAAGTTAATCTATCAAATTCAACATACAGTTTTAGTAACACGACGAATCATATTTATGCAACAATTAAAAAGAGTGTGTTCGATACAGCCAGACCGTCCTTACTAAATGAACCTTATACAAGTAGTACATTAAAGTCTATCTATTCGGATGATTCTGACTGTGAAGGTAATTTAATTGAAGGAAACAGTTATAGATCATCTGGAATTGATTTTCAAAGACTTCATTCAAAGCACATGTATGAAAGGCTGACCTCGACTACTTCTAATCGAACCGACCTATCGTTTCTCACTGACGACTCTGTTGAGCTTCTTGTTCCTGACAGAAATTCTCAATGTTCAACGTTTAAGTAGTGGATTGATTTTGAAATTGAATTGTAATAAAACATAATATGAATAATGTTTGACGTTTGGTGGAAATATCAAAATATAATCACATTATTTTAAATTTTTTCTCTAAAAAATCAAAGCAGGTTCTATCTTTTGATTACTGATCAGTGTATTGACTAGAGGTGTATATATACTACCAAATGTTGAATTCATCCAATTTAAGCGGTGCTATGCATAAGACAAATGTTAATGAATTGATTTGCCTTTATTTATGTTTAGTAGCTGTGTAAACAAATTTATTGAGGGAAGGTTTTGAGATTACAGTATTTTTAATATTTTCTTTAGAAATCATAGATGCGGACTAATTTTGAAATCCGCCAAATTGTGTCTTGTCAGTGTGCCATGAATAATATACAATTATGGACTCTTTCGGTGGTGAATATGGTTTGTTATTCACCAGAAAAATACCAATATTGACCGAGGCGAAGCCGAGGTCAATATTGATATTTTTCTGGTGAATAACAAACCATATTCACCACCGAAAGAGTCCATAATTGTTTTATTATATAGTCAGGATTTGAATGAATAAGACATTGAAGGCTGCATGACGACTCCATTTTCATTAACGAACTTCTGTCGTAGAAATTTTTTTAAAAATGTCCAGATTATAACTTATAACTTCCGTGTTTTCCTTTTTGCTGTGTGTAAGACATCGAAATGTTTGGAAAATAATCCTACGAGAAATTTTCCTAAAAGTTTTCCTGCTCAGATATACAGCATATACAGCTGGCTCCGGCCGTTGCAACCATTGTTTTCAACGTTGTTCTAGGTATTGATTGTGACGTCATAATGCCGCTGCACGCGCACTGACCCTCCGGTGAATACGGCTTCAAATCCAGTGAATATTATACAGTTATGGAATGGGTGCGAGGGAAATAACAAATTTATGGTTCCCCGAGGGAGGAAACTATTTCCCGAGGCGGCGAAGCCGCCGAGGGAAATAGTTTCCAACCGAGGGGAACCATAAATTTGCTATTTCCCTCGTACCCATTCCATAACTGTTTTATTATACCGAAACAATCATAGACGATTTAATTTTTTCACCAGACATTCCGACATTTAAAAAAAAAACAATGTAGAGGCAAAATCACAAATACATGCGGTTTGACACATTGTTATAAGTAATGCATCGTGTACTAAAACAATTAAATTATTTTTAAAAAGTATTTTCACTGACATTTCTAAGAATTATCGTTGCCTTCATTTCGCTAGAATCCAATGCCCTGTTCACACGGAGAGTTTAATTCGAATTAAACGTAAGTTACTGCGAATTAAATTTGAACCGCGTTCACACGGAGAATTTAATGCGAATTAGTTTAATTCGAATTAATTTACTGCGCATTAAATTACTTCGCATTAGCTCCATGTGAACGCTAAGCAAAGCTAATTCGAATTAAATTTTGACGCATGCGTAAGGGCAGAATTAAGTCACAGGCCACATGTCGATGGTCAGATATAGGTACTTGTGCTACTTTTGAGTGGAAAACAAAGGAAAATTATGATAATCACTCAAATGTGTACAGACACTATGACATTATGTCAAATCAGTGGTCAAATGTATCTGCTCGGCACAATGTGACGTGATTCGCAAAATGACGTCATAATAGCCTTACTGAATAGCCTTACTGTAGAAATAAAAATTTAATTCGCATTAGTTTAATTCGCATTAGCTGTCGTGTGAACGCAATTTAATTCGCATTAGTTTAATTCGCATTAGTTTGCTTCGCATTAATTTACTGCGAATTAAACTCTCCGTGTGAACAGGGCACAAGTATGATTTTGACATCGCATGTCGAAATGTTTTGACGTCATAGTTACATTGCTAATAACAAGACGTCACAGACTCGAGATTTCTTAAACGCTCCGCCCACTGAACACTTTGATTGGTTAAAATTACTTATAAATATTCATGAGGGAGTAGTCCCAGGGAGTAGCTGTGATTTTCCAGGGAGTAGTCCTCAGATGAGGGAAATAGTCTCTTCTCGTGGAAATAGACAGTTTTATGGTATTAATTTTATATAGAGTAATTACAGTAGAGGTATAATAAGTAGTATTATGAACTGTTTGCGTTTGTATAGATTATATAGGGACTATTTATAGACTATATAATAACATTATTTATTGTTTTCAGTCTCTATTATTCTAGAAAAATACAAAAAGAGAAGGGATGTCCATTACTTATCGTACACATACGGTACACATGAAATTGACGAATGACTGGTTTTTCCCCCAAAATGATAATTACTACATTATTTACACGTACATACGAATAACCCCCCCCCCCAAGCTATTATGCATATTCGCTAGCCAAGGGTCTCTCCTCACAAACCATTGGCCTACGGTGTTAAAAAAAAAGTTGGGATTTTTTTCTCGAGTTGTGATTGGAGTTGATTGATATCGTTCGACCAATCAGCAAATGGTTTTTGTAAATGACGATATCTGCGTTCGGGATATATCTTGACTTTTTAGTCCCGGGAATGAAAAACACAAGTAAACAACGATCCGTAAGATAACAATAGCTATGGTGTCATCCAATCTTAAGGTCAAGATCTAGTTAATGACTTTAGACTAACTTTTTGGTGCTAGATCCATTATGACGTCATAATCAATTTTAACTTTCTTTTTCCCGTACTTAACGGCTCTAGTAGAATTTTGTAGAAAATAGAGTACTTTCATGGAATTCAATTTGAAATAATGTGAAAAATAATCTCGATAACTATATTCAATTTAATATTATTTTAAAGAAGAGGCCAAGAACATACAAATTATCGTTTTCTGAGAGACTGTAGGCAATCTGGATGCATTTCTTTGTCTGATATGGAAAAAAAAACCTCCCGTATTCATGACTAGTTTTCTTAATTTTTTATTGAAAATGACAGTTTAAAATATAATTTTTCGTCTTGTTCATCTACAAATTATGCCCCGAAACACCTTATTTGACCAAGCTAAAGTTATAAAGCACCATTAAAGGAATTTATTTCTCAATTTTGAGAAATCTGTAGGCACCTTTCATTTACTAGATCTTGTCCTTAAGTTGATGTGCAAAGATTTGATGAGAAATCTATATTGCAGATATAAATTTGCAACTTAAAAAACAAATAAACATCGCTCGATATCTTCTTGTTTATTTTCTAAACACTTTAATTTTTGAATTAGCTTTTTTATTTCTGTCGATGACGCAGTTTAAGCGTATGTTGTAAGATTCGAGATCACATGACGTAAACAGTCCCGACTTGACAGCACCATGGGCCAAGGGTTTGTGAGGAGAGTAGCGGATCAAAAACCCTTGGCTAGCGAAGATGGCTATTATGAGACAAATGTTTACTGCATAGAACATGACATATAAATATATGTATCTTAAAATAATGCACAATTTCATTAATTAAAGGGCATTCCGAAATGTTTTTATCGATAAAGTTTTAATATAGATGATTTATGATGTGCTGGCGACAATATATAATACATATGTAGGGCGACACGAACCCTCCCTTACGTACTAGTAAGGCAAGCTATATATATAAACCCTTGTAATACAATTAATTCACAAAGGACTATTACTTCAAATATTTGATACATTTGACGAGTCCACTTCGACACTCTCCCACAAGAAGTTCCCCTTCGTCCGTCACAGACAGCGCCCGGGGACTGTCCAATTCGGGCACAATTATGTACCACAAGAAAAACCCGTCCTTGTTAATGACATGAATCTTATCCCCAAGGCAGTCAGCGACAATTATGTTACAGAGACTGTCCGTGGTCAGGGAACCCCCGACAAGACTGTCCTCCTTCAGGTGTCCACGGTAGGTAAATCTATACTGCCCCGACTCGTCTACCACAACTATGACTTTCCTCCCCCAGTCCGCTGCACAGACATCTCCGTTTCCATTTTCGGCAACGTAAACTAGCTTTTTGTACAGTGGACGATTTTTGGAATCGAACTGTATCTCTTGGATTGTTTTTCCATGGCGACTGAATCGAACAATCTTCATCAACTTTTCATTTTGTTTCATGCAAACCAGGAAGTCCCCTGCTCGTGTGCTTGCAATACCGGAAGCTGACCATCCCGTGCAGCAGACGCCAAAGTCAATGATGCATGTAGAAGTGGTTTGTCCTGCGTCATTTTCGATCGCGTCCAATCGATTGAACATGTAGTTGTTGAAGACCAACTTTCCTTTATGAAGAGTCAAGTAAAGACCGCATTCACTTTCAATTGGCTTGATATCAAGAAGATTTCCATTAAAGTCAAACAATTTCAGTTTCTGAACACTACCCCCAGCCCAAAATTTGTGTCCACGCATAAATACCAGATCAAACAATCGATTTTGGTTTAATCGAGGAGGAAACTTGGTATCTACGGTTGCAGAAAGCTGGGGTGGATTCAAAACAGTCAGTATGCCTTTAGTGGATTCAGTTTCTGGTAGATAGACCTGAAAGTGCTCCGGTATAGCAAGGTTTCCAAAATATTTCCGTAGTTCTTTTTCAACTTCAAATCTTGATATGATGGATGGCATTGTCGCATCTTCTATTTGCGGTAAACTGTTGAACTCTTCCAAGTCTTTTCCCAGTTTCAGCAGTTTTAATGCACTATTTATATTCTGCTTCGTTGGGATTTTACTTCGGAATTTTCTTAATTGGTCTAATTTGTCTACAACCTCCACTCGTTGTTTTTCCATTTTATCCTTGTGCTCTTCTTCGAGCTCTTTTAGATCGGTGAGTAGTTGTTCACCAGCCTTTTCAATCTCTTGCTTCAAGAACACTAACCTTTGCTTAACATTGTCTGTCATTTTTTGGTAGTTTTCTTCTATGTTTTCGTTCCTTGTATTGATGTACTGTAAAGCTCTTTCATAAGAATTTGATAATGATTCAAGTCTCAGATTTTCCCGCGTAACAGTCTCAAGAAGCTCTGGTATTTTATTCGTCAGTTCTGATATCACGTGACTTTTGTGATCAAATGACACGCAAAGCAGACAAACAGGAATTCCACAGGTTTCACAAAATGCTCCACGATCGAATTCAGGATGCAAAGCACAAGAACATTCGTTATCTTCGTCGTCTTCTGTAAAATATTCAACAATGGCGTGTCCGTTTTCCGTTTTGAGTCGTGTATGTACCGGCAAGCATGCCTCACATAATCGAACCTGACACCGTTTACAAGAAAATTCAACCGGATTTTGACAATCACACAGCAGGACATGCTGAGCTTGATTAAGATATGTGCTCATTTTCGATGAACCTTTCCATAAAGACTCTGAAATTAGCTGAGATTCCGAATATTTCGACAAGCAATGTCACCACAGGTACAATATTGAACCTAAAGTCCATAAATTGAGCTTTTTTGAATTAGAAATTACAAGAAAAATTCTGATGTAAGCCATGCACCAAAATACGTATTAGTTATATATATATATATATTTAAACAGATTAAATTTATAATGAAAAAAATTTAACGATGTTTAAAATTTTGAAAAAGATAAAATTCTGAACTTGCCTGCTGTAGTTAAAGATGAATCATTAATCTTGATATCGGTGATGAGTTATCTATATTGAGTTCGCCTAGAATTCTTGTAATAAATAATTTGTGTTGAGCAGAATAGCATAAATTATAATCATGACTTTGTCTGGCTTATTATAGCATTAATGTCCTGGTATTTGTTCCAGTGAGGAAATATCGCACTCTAAAATTGCAACTAAGTACATTGAGCACATTGCAGTGTCGATAATTTTCAGGAAATTATATTAAAAAAAAATCATAAAAAATTGTTATTGTTAGTTTTGGAAATATAATTATGTAACAGGTGCTCACGTGTTCATACATAAACAGCCAGGTGCACACTTGCAGACACACTCAACATGTACACTTGGCTTTTTCACTGCATATCTGCAGAAGTTGTATTCAGATTGCGGAAGAAAATACCCTTTATTTACAAAGTTATATGCGTGTGTATTATTTATTCAATCAAAAAATTAGTGTATATCTATTAGGTGTAAATGAAATAAAATTTACTTAATTTTCCAAGAAAATACTCTATTAAGGTTCATTGACTCTATGACAAGAGAGATAACTCTAACTGGGATTGACAACTTTTATTCCCTATAAAAAATTGTCACATGGCAAATTCTGTCAAATTTTGCACTGCAATGAATGCTAACATGATTTGCATTTCAAAAATAATTTAGATTTCTTTTTGAAAATCTTTATTTTTATAGCAACATTTTATTCAATTGGAGAGAGGAAACATTAAATGGAAATAAAAGAGGGAAATTCTTTTTTTTTCCATCACGCAAGATTTTTGAAAGAATTTTGGTAGAACGAGGCATGCCGCCAAATATTGTTATGACGATCACCTTAAATTTTAAACCACTCAAATCCGGAACTTGAGTCTTGATCTTTTTTTTTGAAAGGGGGGGGGGGTATATTATAAATCTATAATCTATCATAGGTATTTATCATAGGTAAAATAGCCAAACGTCTGGATTGTATCTTTGTTCTTGTAAAAATTCTACCTCTGTTTACACTGTTGAAGTCCATTAACTCAGTCCGCAATCCAATAGTAAAATGCATACCATCAGATCGTCTGCTTCTGTTTTGATGGTCAATAAATCTCTCTCTAAGATGATACTAAATGATCGACTTTCCATAAATCCACGATCTTCATCCCAACTAATTAGTGTTCTATGTTGAATTTGTCCTACTTCTAGACATTTCACACATGCCTTGTTTTCATGTTGGAAGTACATTCAATTTTATGATACCATATCTATTCTTTTTTACGTTGCATTATAGCGATTACTGTACATGCAATGCAAAACGAAGACTAATATAGATAGATTATCTCAGACAAATTCTTTATTTCAACAAACCTGCTTTTACTTTGCTTTGAAGACTAGAAAATATCTGACAAACATGAGCTAAAAGGAAAATTACTTTAATGGGCAACTCTCTGCAAAAATATTTTTTTCTCCAGAGTAGGTATAGTAAGGTAATATGTAGAATATATATGTAGCCTACTCGTTAATGAGAGAGAGTGAGGGAGGGAGGTTTGAAATCCATAATGTAGCTAACGAATTCTTGAATAAAATGTCCATTTTCCCAGGCCAACCAAATATACATGTAACGATGATTGATAGAGGAATATTACCAACATGTTACAGAACCATTCTGGAAATAGATATGAACTTTTCGTGACGTTTGCAAAATGACAATTGCCAATGTTTGAGCCGTTATTAAAACCTACGAGGTGTCGGACCCTCGTGTTAACGTTAAGTCGATTTATGCCCTCCAAATCGTAAATGTATTCTGGCTCCCTAGAGGGGCATCGCTAAGATAGAGTATCTTTTTAACCAGTATGCATTCCATATTACCGGCTGTTTGCTCCATTAGCACAAATGAAAAAATGACCTACGGTATATGGGTGAATCTTAATTTTTAACTCAGTTCCTTTTCTTTGTTTGTTAGGAGAGAGAGAGAGAGAGAGAGAGAGAGAGTTTTGTTAGGGAGGTATGGTATAAATGGATTGTCGTTCTTACACAAGGTACTAAAATAACAGAGGATGGTTCCTCAAACTAACTGCATTTCAGCAGACATCGAACATTAAAGTCAACAATCCCTCTACATTATGTCCTGCTATATAAGCAGCGAACAATTTTCCCCCGCAATAACACAAAATTTAGCTTTGTCAGATCATTATAAAGTTATTAGCATCTCCCTCTTGCTCTGAGGTTACATTCTTTAATTAAAGGTATATTCCTCGCGACCCATGCTTTAGTCTCGTGTACATTACCTTCCGAAGCATAACCTAGTTAATTTCTGGAAAAGAAAAATGACGTTTTGCTTTGTTATATTTTTATGTCCATCTTTATCTTATTCGCGATGATTTAACAGGTGCAATTGCAGACGAATCTCGCAGAAGTTGAAGCCAATTTTTGTGTACTTTTTGATTTTAAAAACATTCAAATATTTCAAAGTATGATGAGGATTTGTGCTACCAGCTGAGTTGAGCGAATGATGCCAATATCTGCATTCAGACTGATTTTTTATAGCATTGTCCCGCAAGAGGCGCTCTTCAAAGGATCGCAAATCATCTCATTTGATGTCAGGTAATAAAGAATTCATTACTCCAGTTTAAATGACGTGTTACACATGTTGTGTTGTAACAGAATTCGTCATTTACATACTAAAGTACAGGTATTGCATGTGAAAACATAATTACTCAATGAATTGGCTGTCAACCTTGAACCCCCCCCCCCTTTTTTTTTAGTTACGATCCAAAAGAAAAAAAATCGTCGAAGGATTATGTAACAAACATCTTATCTGATTAGTTTTAAATCGTGCAGGAACGTAAGACTGTAATTTAAATTTTCAAAACCCAAGACCGCAAGTAGGTAACGAATTTATTTTTAAATAGATGATGGCCCCTGTTCTTTCGTCAATGAAGGATTTCAAGAGAAGGAAATATAGTAGGAAACCCTATCTTGGTGGTAAATTCAGTACAAAACAAAGATAAGATTGCGGTAAGATCGACACAAGGGTTACAGGAAACACCCATCAGTACCGATAGATATTGAGTTATATTCCTTGGTTTTGGACATAGAAGAGATTAACTGTTAATAGAAACGTCGACCTCTCTTCTTAATTTGTCTAGTCACAACACCTCGACTTATTGTAGAAAAACACAAATGACGATAACCCCTCGATTTAGTATCTGCAGTTTGCCCATTAGGATCAGTCGAGTGTGATTTTTCTAATGATCGATATTTCGTACGTAGTAAAAAAAAATTCTAACAAAAATATTCCCCCTCTGTTATGGGTAGTAGTGTGAAATATTGATAGCATGTTTACCATTTAATCAAGACCCCCCCCCCCCCCCCCCCTGCAATTTAGTCCCATAACATCCTAGCAATTGCATATCTTCAAGTACATTGTTTGGCTTTAAGTGAAAATTAAGAAAAGAAGGTCTTGTAAAAAATGTTGAATAAATTTTAAAATATATTTTTCCTTTAACTAGCACCGTGTAAGGACACAATGTATTAAGGGAGATGGGAAAAGAAATAAATTCTTAACGTAAATTCAAAATTTTTTTCACCACAATGTATAATCGTATTTACACACGCATAGCCAAGGATCATTAGCTGTGGACAGAAAGATTTTAAGACCACACGGATTCTGTTATTTGGTCTCATCCCCCCTCCCATGGTAGGCCGGGGGCGAGACAGGTCTAACCCTTCAGGAGCAAGGCGATGTTAAAAATGGAAGATTTATAGCCCTTTGCAATATGTTTTGTTCCCTCAATTCTGCACTTTTTTGAATCCCTCCAATGGTCTTTTGTTTTACATTTTATATGTAATTTTGGGTATACACCTTTATAAAAGAGCAACCTTTATTTCAAGATCAGTTGAAAGTATGACCTTCCATGTCTTACGATAAACAAGATGTGTTTGTGAAACACTGATGCCCCCGTATGGCAGCTTATAACGAAGGTTAAAGTTTCTCAAATGCAAGTCAAAATCCAGGTCTAGAGATAAAAAAAAGTTGGTACCCAAAGTAAGGTCTTGTCTCGAGGAATATACCTGTGAAATTTGAAAGCCCTAGCTCTAACTGTTCGAAAGTTGTGACAAAGGTTAAAGTTTTTTAAAAGTAAGTAAAACGTCAAGCTCAAGGTCAAATGGGGCCCCAAGGGAAGGTCTTGTCAAAAGTGATACACATGTTCGTGAAATGTGAAAGCCCTAGAGCCAAACGTTCACATGTTATGGCCAAGGTTAAAGTTTTTTTTAAAAGTAGGTCAAACTCCAAGGTCAAGGTCAATGCGAAAATTTTTGTATCCAAAAGGTCAAATTTGTTGGTATTCAAAAGAAGGTCTTGTCAAAAGGAATACACTTGTGAAGTTTGAAAGCCCTAGCACCAACTGTTCAAAAGTTATGGCCAAGGTTAAAGTTTTTTTTACAAAAGTAGGTCAAACTCCAAGGTCAAGGTCAAAGGGTCAAAGTTGTTGGTATCCAAATAAAGATCTTTTACAAGGAATACACATGTTTGAAAGCCCAAGTACCAACTGTTCAAAAGTTATGGCCAAGGTTAAAGTCTCATAAAATTTTGCAAAAGTGGGTCATACTCCAAGGTCAAAAGGTCAAATTTGATGGTACCCAAAGAAAGGTCTTGTCACAAGGAATATACATGTGAAATATAAAAGCCATAGCTCCAACCAATCAAAAGTTATGGGCAAGGTTAAAGTTTTTGCGGACAAATAGACAGACAGACAGACAGACGGACGGACAGGGCAAAATCTATATGCCCTCGAATCTTCGATTACGGGGCATAAGAATGTCTTTTTTGAACAATGTGACTTTGATCTTATCCAAACAATTATGGCTATGTTTCAGGATATAGACTTCTTGGTCACTTTTAACATTTTACACTTTTTAAAAAATGAATCATTTTTCCTTGTCTAAATGTCCTTATTTTAGCGTCAGAACCCTTGAAGTTCCTTTAATCATATTTAATTCTAAGGCTAAGTATGTTCTGAGGAAGATGTTCCATCACAGAATTTTACTACGAACAATAATTTTACACTTCCAACCCAGTGACCTTGTCCAAATGACCATTATAGAGGGTTTTAACATACCCTCTGGTCAAAAGCAACCTTTTTGTCTGGCAATTTATTAAAATGCTCTGCTGATTCAAAGTTAATTATGGCCACGGAAAGAATTTTACACTTCTGAAAACTCACTTTGACTCTGTCCATATCACCCTGGATAAGGACATACTCTCAGGTCAAAATCAATCTTGTCTCAAGATTAATCTTTTAACACCTGTTCTGGAACCATGATTTAATACCTTCATGCCATATGACCTTGATCTCATTCATGCAATGTCAATTTACGCCTCTAGACAGAGACCATCTTTGAAGTATATGCTTTTCAAGTTTATCGGTTTAAAAGACTTTTCAAATTAATTATATCCACACACGAATTTTATTTTTTTTACTTCTGTCACAGTGAACCCTTAAATGTTTTTTTTAATAAAATCTAAAATTGCCAGATGCACTAGTTTAAATAGTATTCTTTAGTTATACAAAGTTTGAATAAAATAACTTCATGGTTTTAGAAATAATCCCTGCGTAATTCTCTGACAAAAGAATTAGAGATTCCAGTATCCTCCCCAAACTTCATTTGCAACGGTATTAAATATATGTACGGACGCCAGGGATTTGCCTGGATGGGTTACAGTCTTGCAAGACCTGGTTTAATGGGAGGAAAATGCTCTCTTGGTGCCTTTTAGTTCTTTGATACACAGAGATTTTCAGAACCCAAGACTTAAAGTTCAACAGATTCACGAACAATTACGAACCAACTCAATAAAATCTAACATGATCCGTTATGGATTCGATGATCGATACCTAAACAATCCTATAACTTCGTGAAAATTGACAGTCATGAAATTTGAAAAGCATAATTATACATGTACGACAACCAAAATCATGTACTGAAGACAATAACAAAAATTGGCATGTTTTTTCATTTATTTTGTGACATTATCGCTTTCAGCTGGAATGCAACGAAAGCCAAATCAATTTAAAATTGCGTACATGTACTACCATAAAAAAATTAATTTATATTGCACCGTCATGAAGTAGCACATTGTATCAATGCAGAAAGGCGAACACACTGGGAACAAGGGGTTTTACATCAAAAGCTTCCATTAAGCACTTTTCTTGTTCTGGAAATTCTTACGAGATGCATTGCACCTTGATTTTATTCAAAGTGATGCAATAGAGCGCCGACGCTATCTGCTGATTAATTTTGAATTAAAGAGGGAACCGTTTGTCTTCATTTTACCACTTCTAAAAGATTTCTCACTTCCGGTGTTATCGGATGAAGAAGCCGTTGACGATATGGGTGGTCTTTGTTTACTGCGCCTGCGCTTTCTGTGTTCTGGTCCATCGCTATCAATGATGTCACCTGCCGACATAAACTGCATGTCGACATTATCCCTTTGTGTATATTCCTCCGTCTGAGAAAACCGTTTTGTGTAAGCGGCAATCGGAATCATTTTTGTACACTGTCGGCAGTTACACTGGATTTCCCTGGGATAATTCAGATCAGTATTTGGCACACCATATACGTCACTTCCTGTTGAATAAGTTGAATAGTCCTCTTCGGATATAGAAAGCCTTTGTTCAACACATTGTTTACAACTACAAGCACTATTTATTCGAAAGTCTGAAGCCCCTTGCTCTCTGTCATAAAAGGAATGATTCTGAACACTTGAATTGATTACGTCATCTGCGTAAGGAAATTTTTCAATGACATTATTTCTTCTCCATTTGTGTTCGTCTGGATATCCTCTTGGGTAACACTTACAAGATACGGGATAATCTTGACGCTGAACACTATAATTTTGTTTTAAATTAATCACCTGTCCTCTGTACGGAATTGAAGAATTTGATTGGCAGCAAATATTGCACGGACAATTAAGCGGAATTTGATTGGTTGACTGGATAGAACTGGCCTCACATTGACGTCTAGCTTGATAAAGAGCATTGCTAACAGTGGGGTTGGGACTTCGCATGTCGTACAGTAGATTGGACACCGGGGTGTTTACGCTACGAGGTTCATGTACAGAAGCTGACTCGGAATTTCTGAATCCATATTTCTCCCTCAGTTCTGAAATCATTTCCTCATTAAAACGATGGTTTTCAAATGAATTCGACATGTTATTAGAGAAGCTCTGTTCACTGGTATTAACCGAATCATACGTGTATGACATGTCTCCAGCACTCAGAAACGCATTTTCCGAAATGTCGCTCCGATGGCGCTTCACTTCATCAGATTCATAAACATTGGCACTCCGACAGAAACGAGCAAAATCTATACCATACTTTCCTCTCTTTTCAGGGGAACTGTTTTCTCCAGAACTACTTTCGCCGTTCATCAATTTTGTTTGAACTCCATTGGATGTTAAAATAACCTGTCAAAGAATGACAAAATGACTTTAAACACATTTTATAGTGCACAATATTAGAAAAAGAGTGCTCATGGCATTAGTATGTGAACTTACCTGAGTTTCATTTTTATGATCTGGGACTTTGGAAAATTTCTTTTTTCTGGAATAAGTAAAAAAAATTAAGCCATATATAGTTCTTAAAGTATTGTTCAAGATCAGTTTAAATCAGTTTATCCTTTAATTAATGATTCTAATACGTAGAAAAAAAGCGTTTGCGAAAAGTCTCATTATGTATTTTAAAAAAAAATCTCCAATCAAAAATCAGCAAGTCTTCTTTTTAAAGGAAACCAATTTGTTTGATTGATTGATTGATTGTATGTTGTTTTATGTCCCGTTCAAGAATTTTTCACTCATATAAGAGACGTCACCATATACCGGTGAAGGACTTCAAATTTAGACCTTTACTTGGCACTCAGGGTAACTGAGCAGAGAGGGATCTTTATCGTGTTTTTATCGACTTAGGTCAGTCGCATCGTATCCCTGATTCGAACACACGACCTTCCGATCGCTGAGCTACCGTGACGGTCCAATTTGTTTGAAAAGCAAAACGAAATTCCTTTCAATCTCAACTGACAAGTGAAGTGAATGTATTTATAATATTTAGAATAATTTAATCATACCGTAAACTTGAAACGGAGTGCACTAGTCATAACAGAAAATGTCAGTTAAAGTGTACGCTTGTCAGTTTGAAACATTTTTCTTTTTCCCAAGAAAAAAAAGTCCACCCCACCCCACCCCAAACATTCTAGGAATGTCTCACCATGATATACGAAAGAAAAGAGACCATTAGCATGATTAGCAGTCAAAGTTAATTTTCATATAAAGATATATTGTTAATCCTACATCTTAAAATAAAAAATAGAAAAAAATACCTTCTTCTGAAGAAAATCACAACAATAACTACACAGAGACACAGTGTCAAGAATCCCAGCAGAAGACCAATGAAGCATTTCAAATCACAGTCACTAAAAATGAGTGCATCCTGCAGTGCCATGGCTTGCAGTTTGACTAGATCGAGGCCACACCGCCTGGCCACTCTCTTACACAGTCTGTCTCCATCTTCATCGCCTAGTTTCTCTTTCCATGGCAACTCTAGTATCAACTCTGGTTTCCATGGAGGCGGACAGGGAAATATGTCCCACAATGCCTCTGGATTTGAATATATGTACTTCCGGTATTCTTGATCGGTGCATTGCTGATCGGTGCTAGTGTTACACTGTAATAAAATAAATTTACTGATTATTTTTTATGTATTTTCCTGAAACGTCGCGTAAATTCACTATGTAAGTTTGTTTTATTCTAAAAAGAGATTTACTGAATTCGGAATTAAATTTATCGGGTATCAAAAGCTTTCTAACACAGAACTCTTTTTTTGTATCTTGCATCAATCTAATTTTATTTCACTGATAACGTTAACTAAATAACATCACTTTTCAATTTTAGAGTTGTATTTTTTTTAAAATTTGCATCCATCCCATAGATTAAAAATTTTAACAGTCAAAGATTTTTTTAACGAAAACTTAGGGTGTGTTGTCAAATAAACGTTTTATACTGTGCTAATCTGGAAAAACAACAGCTTCCCGGGGAGTATTATCATATCAAAGAAAAGTCCTGCCAGTATTTCATTTTGTTTCTGTAATTGCATCGGCTTCAGGATTTGTTGACAGCTTTACACGTTATTTAAGAAAAAGATTAATTTATGGACTTTAGGATGATAAAAATTTAAGGACAATTATCAAATTTTCGCCAAATTATCGATATAGTGCACAGCAACTAATACGAAGTTTGATTAAAAGTGACCAGGAGATCAATACACCATGAATAACGTGTCACACGCTCTTCTCAGAGAAAAGGGTGTAAATGGGGCTATAACGCCAATTATCTTACTGTGAGGTATATGCAGGGCACGTGCGGTTAATCTATGACGCGCTTACACAAGTAATGAGAAAGACTGAGAATCCCTTGATAATTTCTAAACGGTTTTGATCTCTTTCGCTGAAGAATTAAGAAGTGTTTTCCATGCACCGAGGCGATAGAAAATATTCAAATTGTGAAGAAAAATCTTCCGGGATTTGCCAAGATCACGCTCTAGATTTTTCGATAAAGTCTTATTTTACTTGGAAATCATTTTCTCGAATGCATCATCATTCCTGTAATGGAAGTTTCAACAAAATCAATACAGGATGTTTCTCAAAAAGAGTTTCACTTTCTAGAATCGAATAAATATTGTAGAAGTCCATGCAATACTGTTAATGGAAACGGATATAATTCAAAAAAGATATGGTGTAAAAACAGAGCGTAATTTATACATACACTTACATGTATCTAAGTGAGGTTTGGAAATATTTCATTGTTCCCAAGCAATAGTTTAAAATTACAGATATAAATTTTATCTCTTAATTTCTGTCTCTCTGTGATTTATTCCTCTTAAAAAGATGTATATTTTATCCTGATACAAACTTTCAAGCAAACATTACAAAACCATTTTTAATTTTAACTATCCGAATGCATTAGTCCATTTCACCACAAATAAAAATGCTAAATCAAAACAATTTTTCCTATACACTATGAACCATTTAAAGAACACATTATCCCGAAAATATACCACAAAATTTTATCTGTATAGTCAATAAAATTTTAATTACTTACAGGATGCAAATCATGTATCAAACTTATAACATGTAGAACTCACATAATACAATTAAGTCTACAATAGCACTTACGTCATACGATGCGTTCAATATGCTTTTCATTATACTCTCCACTTAAACACAAATGGTTAACAAGAGGAAACGTCGATCTTCGTAGGAAGTCAACAAGAAACTAATTTATAAGTTGTTACTCCGATGGAATATTAGTTATATAATACAAGAAGCAGCGTGCAACAGAACAATAACCCCTCTCTAAAATCAATAACTTTCTTGAAGATCACTTCCTTTTTGATATAACAAAACGAATGTCGAGCAGGTGAACTTTTTTCTTTATTGTCACGAGAAACAATACCCCCCCCCCTTTTTTTTTTTTAAAAAAGAAAAACAATTTGTGCAATGAAAGACGTGATTCAGAAATCTCTGTAACTTTCTTTTAGGGCTATTTTCACCGATAGTTCGCTCTTTAAATTATGCCAAAAAAAAAAAAGATGACGTAAGCCTAGAACGTATTTATTGTAGAAAACGCAATATGCATAAAGTAAAGTATATGAAATTTAACGTCGACCTTACTAACACTTTGATTTAATGTGAAATATACACTGATTGGCTGTTCGGTGTGACGTAATATAATTACGTGTCCCCGCCCACTAATGTACTATCGAAGAATATGTGATGAAGTAACTTTTCCTTTTTTTTTTTTATTTTTTTTTTTTAGATTTAATAGTCTTACAATAGGTGCACAATTTTGTGTGACAATCCTTGGATTCTACAAATTCTACAAACGTTGTCGAGAAGTTATTAGATTAACAGCTTGGTTCAGGAATATCTGTCAGCGAAATAAATATATTTTATATGTTTATATGTAAATCGTTCTTGTAACTGTACATCACCATTTACTAATTTAGCTCTTCGCCTGTCATCGAAATTACTCAAAACCGTCTTTAAACTGTATTAATTATACCGACACCTTAAAATATTTTTATTCAATCTCTGCTGACATTATCTAAAATCGATTTTTAGAGATTTTATGACTTAATTTTATTAACACTATTAAAATCAAAGTAAACTTGAAATCCGTTTTTCCGTTATAAGATTAAGCCCATCACGTCCAAATTTTATACGAATCTAAATGAAATGTTTCAGCCTCAATACGGAGTTCAAAGCTCAAACCAAGGGAGTTCAAGTTCTCTTATCTACACATTTATATTGCCCAAAGCCAGAGTTCAGCTTGGCACACGATCATGACGTTAGATTCGTGTAAATATTTACAGAAGCTGGCTACGAAAAATGGCCACCTGTCTGTTTGAACGATTTCTGCCAGACTTTAAGGTTGTCCAGTAAAACCCTATCACCGCGTCATGATAAGGCACTATTTTATTTCCCCTGCTGGGTGTTTGTCTAAGGGTTCTACTTTCACGTCTAAATTGAGTGGTATGAAACTTATTAACGTGATTTTGATTCTTCTGTTGATTGTAAGTTTACAGCCTCTTAAAAGTTTTTCGATCTACTCAAATGAAACAATTTGTTTCTCAACCTACGCATTTTTCAGATTTAGCTAAATATAATATACTCGTGTACACACCCTTTTCTTTTAAGGGGGCTGAGTGGTTAACAGTGGACCCAGGATTCTTGAAAGGGGGTGGCCTGTTGGGGTGGGGGCCCAAGGGGCAAATCCCCCGAAAGCTCTCAGGTTTAAGTTTATTTGAACAATTGTTTTTAACTTACTTTAGCTACTATAGTATATTTTAGGTTAGCTGCAGATCTGTAGCTCTCCGAAAAAAATATATTGACAGACAGGCAGCTAATTTTAGGTATAAGTAATGCAATATACCTCAAACAAAATAGATTAATTTATTAATCTATGTATATTTTTGGTCACAAGTTGTGGGGGGGGGGGGGGGGGCTGCCCCTCTCTAAGTCCTCCAGTGGTCAACTAAAATCCAACTAAAATATCCAACTAAAATGTAAGAAATATAATTTTTCTAGCTATAAACCTTTATGTACATGGAGTAAAGAAAAATAGAACCCCACATATTCCAGCTAGAATATCTAATGCAATCTCCTATATATTTTCATACAGAGGTTTTCTTTTCCATGAGGTTTAATAGTCAAAAAATAGCCATGAACACCATGCCCTGTTAAGTAAAAGTGTATATATACAGTGATATCGTTCAAATTTATGTTATCAGTAGGCAGAAGATATTTGTGGCCAAGTGATTAAGACATAAGTGCAGATTGCCAAAACATACATAGATGTATTTGTGTGATGAGAGGTGCACTACTGCAATATCAACAGGTTTATGATGTTTTTCGTTCCTCAGTATTTGATGAAAATGAGATAAGCTAAGAATAATGCAGGTTTTTTTTTCATAGAATCATGCTGCACTCGCAATAGCTGAAGATAAAACATATACTTGTATTCATAACAGTAAACACGTTTTGTTTAGAGAGAGAGAGAGAGAGAGGAGCCAATTTCTTGCAAACTAAACTTTTTGCAAATGAACGGCAACAACGGATGTTCAATTAGATAAAACAGACAAGATGTTCCAATTTGATCAACGTGGCAGACGTACGTACAATACAAATGTTTCATTACACCAGAATTTCCTCCAACTTCACATTTGATGGATTGGGCCAGACAGCAGGGGCATAACCAATTCATACATAACGTGTCTAATTCCACAGAATCTAAATTACACGCGAATACGTCATGATAAAGAAAGATTATGTTTGACGGTTATCTTCTCCCAAACGAAATCACTTTGTAATAAGGCAACCTAACTGATACTGGCAGTCAAGTCTACAAAAAGACAGGGAATTCCTCAAAACCTCCAAAATGTCATTAAAAAATTAAAGCTTGTGACAAATATTAAACTACACAAAACAAGTTGATAACATTCATTTATTTGTGTCCTTTTTACTAAAGTGTATCCATATCTTCATATCTTAGTTATTTCTAGTTTAATTTTCATCTTCTCATGAAAATGCATTATTATTTATAATATTTCTTGTAACAGAACAATAAAGTCCATGAACCTTTTCAATTGGATATCGAAGAGAATAATTTTACCGACTTCGCCTACAAGAACACGAAACATTTCTTACTTCTTGCATCTTGAGTGCCTACCGTCCACTTGAAAAAAATCCAAACAAAAGGAGAAGAGATTAATTAAACGATTTCGTCGGTTCAAATGAGTATCTTAACATCCAATTCAGAAGGAAAGTGTTTGAACATCATAATAAAATAAAACAAGTGTATCATCACTTCAAACGAGAGTGTCCCGATTAATATGAAGATCCTTTGACTACACAAAAAGTACGAACAAAAGTTCAGAGGAAACAGATGTTTTGTAAAGAATGCGCCCTCGGGGGTTGATGGCCAGAAAAATTAGACATTTTGATTCATGTGCAGCGGCCGTCGCCGAGAAACACGTTACAGTTATTGAAATTCATAAGGTACATGGACACAAGCTGTAATGTCGTCTGCTATGAATACCGTCTGCTGCTGACGTAACATTTTTTTTCCAAGATCATCTGATCCAATAGAAAATCTTATAATCTTCTGATAAAAGGTTGTTCTACAAATTAAATAAGTCTTTCAACTTTGCAATAGCCAACACATCAGGTCGATGTCTGGTGTAAAGAATAGCTTTTTATTGACCTTCTGAACAAATTTTTAATTGTATTTATCGATATAATTTGTTTATTTCACCAAAGATCTAAAGTAATGATCAATTCGTATAGATGAGCGATTTTTTCCCTGCATATGTTCCTCAAACATACATTTATACTGCATCACTAAACATTGCGGCAGATTTGTAATCGATAACGAAGCATATGATAATGAAGCAGACAAAACTGCATTTACCATTTTTTCAGCACATTCCAGAATAGGTCTTAATTCAAATATTTGTTATTTAATTCTTTCTATCCCTTAAATAATCCGTATCAGAATTACAAAATGGAACCTCTGACCACATGGTATGATCTTTTTTAAAAATCAATTTTTTAGTAATTAAAAACAAATATCATGTATATAAAGTGAAAATACAAGATGAACATCAAAGAAATGAGCTCTTTTTTTCTGAAAATAATCATCTATATCACAAACGGTTTAATGACAGAATATATGCATCAAGAAAGGAAAATCTGAAGACAATTGCAGACGTATTATCTTGGCTAATTATGATGTCTTCTTAATGAAGACTTGGTTGTCTTTTGTATTCTGCAATCAGACATGTGGGTCATATCAAGCAAATTCTGCACGCGTACAAAAAGGCGCGTGCGACGAGAGCAACAATCCATCACTTTACTGCAAAAGATGAATTCATTTACTGCCCACTGACAGAGAACTTGATGAAGTATACAGGCAATCTGGCTTACTTTTGGCAAAACGTACACGTATCTAGGGGGCATTGCAAAGGACACCAAAACTTGTGTGTATCTAGGGGGCATTGCAAAGGACACCAAAACTTGTATGTATCTAGGGGGTATTGCAAAGGACGCCACAACTTGTATATATCTAGGGGGTATTGCAAAGGATGCCACAACTTGTATGTATCTAGGATGCCACTATTTATAAGATAATAAACCCTTCAAGTGACTTTTCGACATCTTGTACAACATTTCTGAATAAAACATATCCAGCTGTCGCTACCAGATGGCCCTCAAAATAAACAGAAGTACTGATCTGTGGAAGAATGAAAATTGACATTCTGTTACAGTGGCAAGAAAAATCAGCTGTGAGTGTCGGCAGTGCATGGACGATAGCGTGCCTGTAAGCAATAAAACGAGTTATTGGGTGACAAAATATTCAATTACCTCTCCTAATGCGACTTGGTTACTGTGCTAAATTTTATAGCTCATCAGGTCGAGGAAATGTGCAAGTTTTCGCTACATGGAATGTATAACAAGGGCAAGCTTAAATATCGGAGTGTACTTAGAAGAAAATAATCCAGAATGATAAGAATATTTAAAATAAATAGACATTATGACTTATTCCCTCAATTTTATGGTAGTTTATTGCAACTCCACCCTTGTTCAAAACAAAAAAAAAATCAAATTGCGATCATAAATATCATCGTTTTATCGTCATCAGTGTTCTAATCGTCTATTATTGTCCCGCTGCGTGATATCAAAATTCTTATCAAATCTCATGGCAGTAATTAGCAAACTGACCTCGGACAAACATCGTGTTGATGTCTTAATTGTTTAAAAAATCTATCTTTACTTACCAACAGGGGTCGCTTACACATTTGACATCAGTCATTCGGGATTCTGCGGCAAATAAACCACAAGACGTGAAAATTTAACCGTAAGAGTAAGGCACCATACAGACCATTTATTTACTCAATTACTGTGTCGCCAACAAGATAACGGTTTCTACATTAAGACCAGTTGTTCTCCGGCCTTAACCATGTACAGATAAAGTGTTCAATTGTTCATACTGCTGTTCTAGCATATTTGATATTTTCCTCAATAGCCTTACCCAGTGACCCCCCAAACATGCAAAAAGTCATCAAAGTCGATTCCATCGAAGTGATAGATTCCATTTAAGTTGTTAAAAGCTTCACAAGGTAACAAAACTTTGCTGTTCCAGGTTTGTTCTTGTTATCAATATTTATTTAACCCTAACCTAAGTCAAACGGAAGAATCCTAATCGAAAGAGAGTGGAGATAAAAAAAAAAGGGGGGGTTCAGCTAAGCATGTGTAGAATCTATTGTATTAATCGTCTTCTGTGATGGTTATCTTTGGACAACAGCGCTCGTTTTAGAGTCCAGCTGTGAAAAACAGTTTTCAGGCCAATAGTTATGACCGTCGCACTCAAGAGCCCTTTTCAACCTTTATATGAGCACTTCAAAAGACGCTGCTTCCACACATACTAATTTTTGTTCGCTTCTGGGTTTTAGGTTCACTGACAACAACATAGAGATAATCTTGATCATTTTTAGGGGGAAGAAAAAAAAAAAAAAAGAAAGAAAGAAATCGTATGTACACCAGAACTCACAGTCAGGCACTCAAAAGCATAACTCATCATTTATTTTTCTTTCTTTTTTTGTCATTTGAAGGAATTTTTATCCCATAAGATCTCTCGGCTGTCAGATTTATGACAAGGCCTTTTGTTATGTATCTAGTCGTCCGTCTAACTTTGCATAATAGATAATCACGTCTTAATAGGGGTCCATTCTATCCATTTAATCAATGGATTTGGAGGATACCCTGGCACAAGCAACAAAGACAGGTGACGCTTAATGAACCATGGTTAATTACAATAAACGATGTCAGGAGAAGAATTTCTGAATTCGGAATGTCATGTTTACGACAACATTCTTCGTTTTTTTCTCTCTCCCGAAGATAACCGACCAAATGGTGAATTTGGGGGTCGGCTGTCAAACACTCAGCTTCACTAGTAATTGCATTAAAACAAATGGAGACCCTCTCAAGCATCGGGTCGTAAAATATTAGATTCTAATATTTTTTCAGCATATTAAGAAAAACAGAAGCTGTTACACACTTAAAAATAGACAGGGGAAATACTGAATCAATACTTCAAGAAAACGAGGAAGTTATATAGTAGTTCACGTATATATCTTATCAGTGTTTATAACGAGGAAGTGGGTTTCACTAAATTTACTGAGCTTACAGGTAAAAACAGGAAATTACATTAAGTGTCATAGGTACTTTTATTTTTGGGATAAATTGAACACATTCTATGCCAAAAAAATCCCGAATTAACCTTTAATAATCTGTTTGAAGTCAGATTTTGAAGGACAAGCGTAAAAAAACAGCTATGTCCACAAACATTAAATGAAGTTTAAAAATAAAGTTTAAAAATACAAACCTTGTTTGACGCACAATTTCCGATTTCAACTAAATATCCCACAGTAAATATGGTCCATACGGAACAAATAAAATCATCGAGTCCCATCACATCACAATGGCTTTAAAAAATAATGGCTCGCCCGCGATGTTGTACACGCTTTTTTCATTCACGATTTTTATGGCGGGACACTGTAGGCCCTGTAAGATTGAGCAGATAAATATTAGCTCTTCTTTCAACAATATTGGTTATGCGCTCTATCCAAGCATTAACTAGTAACGTATGTTTTGAAACTGCACATCCATTTAGGCTACTCTCCGTGATTTATTGAACAAGCCTGCATATACCCGCTTTGTTAAAGAGTCGGAAATTTGCTCCGCCTATCAGACTACGCGATGTAGCTGGAAGCAAGCAAAATCATGCGGGATTTCTTTCATAAATTTGTATTTTCCTACTGTTGGTCGATAATTCAATGCCTTTGTTGAAGTCTGGGTAGAAAATTCCAATTCTATCCGGTTTCCGTTTGATGAACGAGATGTCTTCTGCTTCTGCGATGAACTGTGTATACCGCTGTATGTTTCAGACTAGAACTGGAGGCACACGATATCGAACCTCTTCGGTATCAATGAACACACTGCTACATTATGGGTGGGGCGTGTCGAGATAATCCTCATCAAATTTGAGAGATGATATTAAAAACAGATATTTTCCCCCACAGAAATATTAGTTTCAAGTTTCACCAAATCTCAATTTCCACAGTCCTCTGGAAAAAAAATCAGGAAAATCAACTAAATCAAATGAAAGGCTTGGAAAAATTCCTAATCATTTTTCTTCAACAAACTTCATGAAAAGCGCGATCAACACTTTGAGATATATCATCTAGTATAATCATTCCGTATTGCCAAAAAGGATGCGATTAATTTAGGCTGATGGTATTAACGCTGATGACACGTCGGTTTTATTTGATCTTGATAAACTGAGTAGTTACAACCCCCTGGGGACATTTACCTGCATTCTCATACACGACTTTTCATTAATCGATACAACAGACAAGTCGCTCGCTAACGAGGACAGGTGCCCCGGAAATAGGATTTTGAAATTGTCATCGAAAACTATTGTGAAACATGCACTTGAGATAAAGCTTTTGACCTTATAAAGGTTTGGCTGATAAAACTTTTTTCCTTATATTTTTGAGAGAAAAGTTAACAATAAGCATGGCGAAAATCGATATTAAAGGTTTGGTTTCCGGTTGACAGGAGAGGCGCTTGAGGTCGTTGATTTTACAATTTTTCACAAATAAAAAAGGACAGCATCGTAAAATATTCATAATCATATTATCAAATATGGATAGTGAGAGATAAATCGTCAAACATTGAAAATGTGGTTTAAAATGTTTGAATGTAACACATGCTATAGAAGTTTCCGCGTGCATATCATACAGAAGGGTGCGTTCAGTGCAAGGGATTAAACTACACGGGCCATAAACTAAGATTTTTAATCCAATTAAATTATATTGGATTGACTCAGGGTTGTATATACGTATGCGCATGAACTATTTGTTCCGGCAGTGGAGAATAAAAAAAAAGAAAAGAAAAAAAAAGAAAAGAAAAGAGTGAATTTTGAAGAATCTGTTACATACAGTGGATTTGTAGAACCATCTTTTTAAAATTGGATTCCACAAAATTGAAACAATTTTCAGGATAAATTAAAGTAACTTTCACCTAAATAACATTTTTTTCTCTGTCGTTGTATATGTAATGTAGACGTCGGCTATAAAACACCTTATATGGTGTGAGATATTCTTCAAAATCATATCCAGCTATCTTGGTTCAGCCTCATGCAATGTAGGTTATGATTTTATCATGTAACAAAAATCAAATTATAAACTACTAGTTAATCGAACTCTGAGGCAAGTTGAATATTTACAAAAGGTCCAACAACGTGCAAGTACATAACACATCAATTTCCTATATTTATTGATAAACCACTCCTTAAAAAATCTTATAAATCCCAATGTTGCAGCAGCTGATTCAAAGAAAACTCCATATTTTCCATTGAATATCGATGAAAACATACTTAATTCACGCGTCAGCACTATACTAGGAAAACGATCTTTTTTTAATTCTATCCTACATAAATAATAATCAAAGGATAAGTCAAGTTATAAACCTACACAAAAATGCAATCGATTTCTGATTTTGTCGAGGGTCTGCTATATTGTAGAATTAATTTCGGGTCATTTGTATTGTATACAGAAAATAAATCGTTCCTCTGGGATCTACATCATGAACTTATGGAAAAAAATACCCCATGTTCCGCCACTGAAAGCCATTTTCTGTATTTCTCCCTATGGAGATGGATATTACGGATTTCTTCCATTTCATGTCAAAAGACAGACGCTGTATCGATTAAACAGTCAACATTTTTTTCTGAATACCCTAAAAACAGAATTGATTGAGCGAAAAATATCAATATCAGCATTCTTGGAAAATGTTTTGCTGATTTAACTTTGACATTATAGATGTAAGGGCTGATCACTGCTTCAGACCATTGCAATGCTTTTTTCTTGGTATTTAGCACATCGGTAACAATTATGAACATTTTAAATTCATATTCAGACTACTGTAAAACATTATCACTGTTTTTGACCTTGATCTTTAACCCATGACCCCATTGATTTCTCCCTCGGACCACCAGGTACGTCTTTAACAAAAATAAGATTGAAAGGTCAATTTTTAATCTTTTTATTGGGTCCACAACATTGGTACTGATAGATACATGTAATTAATTTGTGTTAATTAATTAATATGTCACCTGCTCTGTTACGTTTCCAGTTTAGTAGTTACGTGTACTGGTGCATGATGGGAGGCCATTTATATGCCCACCTGCACATTTCCTCTGTCTTTATTAGGCTCATAACCATCAGTTATCAATTATGATTTATTTCTTTTGCTTTTATATCCAAATTGTCCACAGGTTTATGACCTATAATTAATTTATCTTCAATGTTGGCACATGAACATGTACGCCGATCATAAGCCAATGCAGTCTAGTGTATATTTTCGGTATTGAGTACATTTTCGTTTGATACTTTGTGAAACATACATGCAGTCATCTGATCTTAGGAAAAGTTTAGGTCACTGCGTTATCATAGCATCAATAAAGGCATTTTATTTTCATATGTACAAGCAAAAAAAAAATTAAATGAAAAAAAAATGAATGAATAGATAATAATAATAGAATAAAATAAATAAAAATTAATTATCAGAAAGATGAAAATGATTCTAAGGGAAATCAGGTACGAAATTTCTGATATACTGTTCTTTAAAACAGCCAGATGTAGTGAATAAAACAAATATGGGTACGATTTCCTGGGTGTGTAATCTCAGTGTGCATATAAAACAGTAATATTTTCTCTTCTGTGTCCATCCCAGTCATAAGTACCTCCGGGAGTGTAATATTACATATTGTATATATACCCTTTATTCATTAACGGTTAGTAATTAATTTTAATTGTCACCCTGGTAAAACATATCAGAAGCAGTTCTCATATTTCGTGTCGTGACGTATTAAGTCATGAATGTAGCCCTTCCCATCCTGCTTTGTGTAATACTTCATATACATTTATTGATTTTTTTCTCCAATCAGATAAAAATGAATGGGGGAGAATCAATCAATAGAGAACACGAGAATTTTGAGTGAACCGATCAAAGAACACAGGTTAAGTTTTGCAATATGAGCATCTCAGTCTATTTATTAGTAAACATTTGTATTATTTAACGACGTTGGATCCTGATATTTAAAGTCTTAAACTTTTTTTGTCAAGTATATTTTTAGCTTCTACACACATAGCTTAATTAAAAATCAAAACAAAAAATGGGGGTCAATATGCTTCTTTTGGCGCTACAGTACATTTAAAATGACCTTTTTGCACTGAATTTGTGTCTTAATCAAAAATAACATCTTCGACGTTTTCCCTCCAATATTTTTTATCCAAATAAATCATGGGGACAAAGTATGCTATTATTCTCTCTTTAAAAAGACACATTAAAATTGTGACAAAGAAAAATTTTCAAATTGCTTCGCATAATCAATTATTTGACCTTTCTGCACTCACAAAATGTCATTTTTCGGGCATTAAAAATTTAACAAGCAAGAAAAATATTTTAAAGTCTTAAACTTTTGCTGAATTTAAGTAGATTGATCAGAGTGATCTTATATATTCAGAAAAGAAAATCAAAAGTGGAGGTCTATGATGTTATTTTTTAGATAATACTAAAAAACTGTTAATTTTATGATAAAATTGGCTCAATTTTTTCCTGGAGTTTCAGAATATATTTTCTATATTTGTCACAATATGATGATAGAATTCACAAAAACTGATTTAATTAATATTTTAGAACCAGCATTAAACATTTCAATGCACACAATAGCTCTGTGTGCAACCAGCATGGAAAAATAGGAATCTAAACTTAACAGTACTGTATATATTTCAAAAGGGAAAAAATGATCATTTTCTTCTAAAAAAATCTTCCGCCACAAAATATAGTTCCTGGCCTAATCCTATTTGAATGGAATTTAATCGCGTTTTTTTTCATTGGATATAGTATAATTTGCATTGTAGAATCCAGATTTAATGTTAGAACTTAAAAATAATGCAGAATTTTAGAAATAAAGCTCCAGACCAAAATCTGCTCAAAAGCTCAGGATCGAACGTCCTTAACAAAATGGTTTTTAGGTTGTAGGAAGCAATTCATAAAGCTTTTTAAAAAAATGGTTATCTACATTCACATCTAAAAGAAACGATGACTGAACTTCGACCTACATTATCAGTTTTCAGGTAAAGTTGCGGATTTGGTCAGTTAGCCAATATTAACTCTAGCATTGCTGAATTTTGCCTCCAGCATCAGTAGAATCTAGATGATGACCATCATTTAGAGGATCCGACAGTAATTATAATATTGACATCCAGTTTATAGACTGGGGACTGACATTGAAACACTTTTTAAGAAATTACATATATAAACATATTTTCCTTCTCCAAAATAATCAAACTGGAAAAAAAGAAACTACCCGATGCTTTTTCAGGAAAGATGAAAATGTCGTTTAATCTCTTTTTCAAATGCACAGTCACTAGCACCCGAGAGTAGTCATTTCTTTACCGTTTCTCGATATTCAAGCCACTGTCACTGATTCGCAAGTGTCTTAGCTATTGCTGATATAAAAGGTTGCAATTCTCTGTAGAACACTTGCAACAATTTCCTTGACGTCAGATTGAGTAAAAGAACAGGTACGAATATAAAAAAAATGGGAGATATCATAAATTAATACAACTCTGACGTCATTCTGCTTGAGCTAGAGTGACATCGCAGACGATGAACATTGATCATTAACAGATGATGAAGATTGGTCATTATTATCATTTCTTACATTCATTAAGTCTGTAATTATACTATTTCATTAGCTAAAAATACTTGTACCTGAGATCTTTCATTTTGTTTTAATTTTCATCAAATAACAAGAAGGACGCATAGAGACTCATACGTCATTTCCGGCTTATGATTGACACCACAGACGATAGGAGTTGATCCTAATCCTTGTCTTTCATTCATTCAGGTGTTAGTACTTTACTACTCAGAAAGCGAAACTGAAAATACATGTAACACTAGTGATATATTTTTGTTCAGTGTACACCAAATCAATCAAAAATAAATATCCTACCTACATCTACTTTCTTCAGT